GAGACGAGGCATCCTCTTCCTTTTTTATATATTTATTTTTGCTGAATAAACAAAAGGATGTTCTTAGGTAGATATTGAATATGGATTCATGTATATTATAGAAATAAAATATTTAATATCAGATTTTCAGCTCAAATTCATTAGCATTTTTATAGCTTGTTATCTATTTTTCTCTATTTAAAATTCAGTTTCAAATTGTTTATATTTATCTTTGGTTTTAGTTTTCATTTTCATGGCATTTTTCCATACATAAAACTATCCTATTAATATGCAATCGTGCCATTACCATTAGCATTCCACAGGCAATTACATTGCAATTATGGCCAAATCCATTTACAGTTTAAATTCAAACCAAGTCCGAGGGTAATTATAATTTCATTGCAGTTTCAATTCGATTTTGTTCAAATTAATATCTGGCTTTTAGTTGCAGTTATTTGTGAGCTCATTATGTCGTGGCGTATATCGTTTTAATGGAATTTGCATAATGTTAAGACTTTAATAAAGAGTAAAGGGAATTTCCAGTTCGTTTTTGCTTAGCCAAAAGAGCTCAACTTTCTTGTTATCTGTGGCTGCTGCTGCGGCTGCTGCCGTTGTCTTGGCCATTTGAAAACTGAAAGTGCGCCCGGTCAGCGTCTCGGAAGCGAGAGGGTTACGGGTCTTAGTTAGACCAAGTCATAGTCAATAGTCTGAGCCATAGTCCGAGCCGAAAGTCTATAGGAACAGCCAGAGAAATAGCCATTGCATTAGCCATGCCCAGACCTCTGTCTCTCTCCCGACTCTTCTTGGCTTCATTTGTTTTTACTGCCTGGCATTTTGTAGCTTCACTCTGCTCCGCTCTGCGGTTTTTGCTTTTGGCCATCTTCTTCTGGCCTTCTCCTGGCCCCGGCTTTATCAGTCTCTGCCTGTTTTGGGGCTTTTAAATTGGTTTTGGCCGGACTGCCTGCCTGCCTGCCAAACTTGTGGCGCATCAATTGCAATTGGCAATTCCACTTGGCAGTCGCCAAGTCGCGCGCTATTCTACATAACATTTTGCGGCATTTAGAAAGGCCAACAACAAAACCAACTTTCCTTTGTTACTCTTGTGATGCAACTTTCATTGCAAGCTGTCGTCGGCTTACGTCATTAGCTCGATTCTGCTGCTATAATTTCTGGTTACAATTCCCACAAAAATATATATGATTCACGTTGGCCTCTAATTAGAAAGAAAGCTGCCTAATGAATCTCTGGTAACTTTTCTTTCTGCGAAAAAAAGATCTGAAGCAGAACAGAAATTATCTTGGGCAGGGAGAGAAAAGTTGGTGACTTTTTCTTGGAGATTTTTTAGGTAATTTTAGTAATTATAAATAGGTATTTAAGAAAAATACATATTTTTATGAATAAGACAAAGCCTTTATAGGGAGTCTTACATGTTTATATTATTTTTAAAATTTTTATAAATTTTTTTAGCTAAAAATTAACCATTTCATGTCCTTTTTGCCACTAGTAATTGAATTAATAACTGTTAATTTATGACTTATAACCCCCTAGGTAATGAATTTCTCCATTAAACAGTCACAAAATCATTCTTACTCAACTATTACCTTTACAATTCCCACAACCCACAATCTACCCACTCGAAGATGACACAAAAAGCCACCGATTCTGTTACGAAATAATACCAAAATGAAGGTAATATTTTTCGTTCTGTGTGACAAGTGCGGCGTAATTGAAAGAAATTAAAAAACGAGAAAGATAAAAGGTTAAAAAAAAAGGTAAAACCATTCGCAAAGTAGTCGTCGGCGGCGACAACAATGATAATGACGATAATGTGGCACGGAAGTGGGTTAAGCCGCTTAAATGTTCTGTTCCGCCGGCAGCTCCTCCGCGGAACCCCAACCTCCCCCCTGGAACTCCAACATTTTGCTCGGACGTGCGACATGTCTGAAGTAGGATTTCTTTGCTGCATTTAAATGGCGCACGCATCAAAATTAAGCTGGCCGCAATTAAAAGCGGAGAAAGTGAATATACATCCACCATCCTACCATCGAGATTTATCTCTTTGATGACCATTTTTCTGTATAGTAGCTTTTACTCACGCGTGCCACGATTCTATTTGGGTTTATGGGGTCAGAGCTGGAGCTCTGCCCTTCGGTCTTTGGTTGAAACTCATTCCAGCTGGCACTTACCTGCAAATAGATAGAAATCCCCAGATAAGCATTAACAACATTTATGTGTAATTTAATTTTTTAAGCAGGCGAAACAAAAAAAGAAACTGATTTATAATGGTCTGGACTAAATGTTTTTTACGTTTTTATCAAGTGAAAATTATTAAAAACTCTTTTTTTTTTTTGATGGGGTAAGATGTAAGAGAGACATTTCTGGTTTAGTGGCACAAAGCAATTGAAGTGGAATTGTCTGGTAATAACAATTGGAAAGTGCAAAATTAATGGCCAAGTGGATAATGGGTAATAAGAAGTTGTGCAATTTGAAGAAGTCATAAGAAAGTTCTTAAAAAGCATTACAAAACTTAATTTGTAATAGTTAAATTCATTATGTTATTGAAAAGTTATGAGAAGTGGTTAAAATAGGAATTATAATTGATGATTTTACTATATATTTATATTATAATTTATTATATCTCCCAAGTTTTATTAATTTTTATACTAAGTCTTCTTTGTTTTAAATAAAATCTGTCTGTGTTTTTGGCTTAAGTTGAAGCTGTCAGAAATTTTTCTTTAATTTCCAACATCCTTTTAATATTAATTATATTAATATTATATCAACGTTTAATTTTTCTTAAGAATCTCAGCTTCCTGAGCTACACTTCCACCCCTTCCTTTAACTATAATCTACTTCCTGCAGCTGTCCTATAAAAACTATATACTCTACTTAATTAAATATTCACCTCACGCTTTTAACAACATCAAAATGGGATCTAAAAATTATATATTTATATATACTTTTTCTCCAATACAATTTCACTTAGTTCCCACATGTAAGCAACAGGTGTCGCGGCCTAAACAAGTTTTTCCGCATTAATTTCTAGTCTCTATAGTCGCTCGTCTCAGTTTTTCAGTCTGGTCATGTTCCCAACCGATCATCTTTTGCGGGTCTAGACGTCGCCAGAGTGTTTGCCTTAATGAAAAACTGGCGCCTTACCATCGAAGGAAATTTAATTAAAGAACTTTCCTGGCTTAAAATTTAAATTAGCCAAAAAAATAGAAAGAAAAGCTTATAAACTTCATGGTCAACAAAATATCAAAGCAAATCGCTGTCAATAATAATACATAGAGCACCGTCACAAAAGCTTAATTTGGTTTTCTGTGTAGTTTTTGCTATATTTTGTTGTATTTTTTATTTATTTTTTTTTGTTTTGATTCACACGCTCTTTGATTCCAAACAATCGGCCTGCGTCAACGTCAATGTCCCCCACACAGTCCAGTTTGGGTCCGTCATTTGTCGTTCACGCTTGTGGCCAGCAAATTTGTCAAGAAAAAAAATAAATAGATATACATGAAAAATGGCCAAGAACAACAGTGTAATATCTGTGGCTAAGGTCAGCGGTTTTGTACGAGAAATGTAAATTTGAGGGAGTCACCCGGGGATATATATGTATATATATGCTATAGATTAACCGAAACAGTTACTGACCAAGTTGAATGCCCCCATTTGCCGATTGGAGTGGAAAAATAAATGTCAGGAAAAAGGTATTAAGTTGCCAGGGAAATAAATTCACTAATTTCACAGGAAAACCAACAAAACAGTGGGTAAAAGAATGGCAAAGAGAAAATAATTTGAGCTGATTACAAGCTTGGATTTAAGTGATCAAGGAAATTATTGTACTGGGTTTAGGTTTGGGGGAAAAATATGAAAGAATAATTTGTTTACTTCAGATAATATTTGAGGGATTTAAAAAGTATTATTTAAATAATTAAAGAAAATTCCTAGAATATTTTAAGGAATGGAATTTATTGAATGTTTAGATTTATTATGTAAATATTTAGGGTATTAGCTCATTAATCTGATTTGCAGCATAACAAAAGACAGTTTAATGATAATATTCATAAAAACAAAATGCAAATAAAATTTTGAAAAATATATTTAAACTTTAAAGAATATTTCAATTATCAATTAAACCTTTTAAAATCAAAGTAGCATCATTTTACATAAGATACAAATATAAATTAAAGTAATTACTTGCATTATCCTGTGACTAAACTATTTTCCATCAAACTAAGCCACACTTTAAGCTCTACATTTTAAGTCTTAACTATCTAAATGTCCGCCAAACTCTGCAACCTCCATTTGATAGAGTTTTCCCTCTCGAAAAATCACATACATCAATATATCCCCACACAGAAAAAATTCTGGTGGGTTAAATGAACAATTTCTTTTGGTTGAATAACAGTGAAGCTACTGTCAATGTATTTTGTTGTTGGATTTGGTGACTGCACGACAGTTTATATGACAGTCAATTACAGTCACCCTTACGTACGAGATTCTGTGTGTTTTTTGTTGTTGGCTTTGCGAACTGTCGTGACTGTCAGCTGCAGTCAAAATACTGTAGGTTTTACGAAAAAGTTTTATGTGTTTCTTTATCTTCTTTGGTATCGTGTATGTATTTTTGCATTCCCAAGGTAAGTAACATTAACATTTTATAAGTTTATTAAATATTTTATGAAAATCCATAACTTTTTCTGCCCACTAAAATACTTTCTGGTATAATTCTGGTATATATTTCTAAACTTCTAGTATATTGCAAACGTTTCTTGAAAAAACGATTTCGGGCACACTTAAAAGCGGCGTCGGTTTCGAGAAGTTGTGCAGCGAAAAGTGAAGTGAAAAAGTTAAAAGTAAAAGTTATGAGTGATATTGACCTTCCTTCTTCTGGAGGAGTGGGATTTCAGAGACTTATTGCCCACATGTCTCGGTAAGTTCCCAAACAATCATTTAAAGATCCGCAATTGGCGAATGTACATATGTATGTATATGTATTTATGCATACATATACATATATGTATGTATGTACATATGCAAGTACACGTACGCCGCTGATCGCAAGAAGTAACGCTTTTAAAAGTAAAGTTAGTGTACAGATTAAAATATATACATATGTACATATATGCATATATGTAAAATCTTATATTTGGCACTGATCTTTGATTGCCTCTCTTTATTTTACAATTTAAATAGCGATCAGCGGACATGTACATGCATGCAAATGTATTTTTTGGCTTCTTGTTGACTTGCGATGGCAACCATCTCAGGCGAGTGCGAGCAAGATAGCTGGCACTGACATCCAAAAACCGTTTGTTTTATATCTTATTATGATATACATATATAATTAAATCTTTTATACTTTTCTATTTTGTTTTCAGGTGAGAGTATACACATGTAACTATAAAACATAACTATGTAAATGGAATCAACAAAATGTAAGTAAAATATTTGGCCGTTTTCTATTAATTTTAATAAACAAATTTACTTAAATCAATTTTTATTTCAGAAAAGCTATAGTCGAGACAAAAGTACCAGTTCGGATGTGAAATATGGACTAATATATATTTGTGAGTATTGATAATCATCGTTTGACTTAATATTTATTTATTAATAAATTTACAATTTTAATATTTAATTTATTTATTCATCATATAGGAAATATATATATATAAGTCCATAATATTATTAATTAAGACCCTCTGTAAATATTTTTAAAGAATAAGTAATTAAAAAAATATTATTAATTAAGACCCTCTGTAAATATTTTTAAAGAATAAGTAATTAAAAAAATACTATTAAAATTTTAAAATAATTTTTGGTTTTATTTTGGTGGTAATATGAACTGCAATTACTGTAGTCGGGGGTAGTCTACAGTAAAATAGTAAAATAGTGTATTTCACAATTTTCGTGGTTTGGCGCTTTTTAACCGCAAAATCGTGGTTCCATTTACTGTAGAGCAGTACATGTTACGTAACGCGTTACGTCGTTATACTGCAGCGTACAGTTCATGGAACCCAAGATTTTGGTTGTTACCTTTTAACCCACGAAATGGTTAGATTTACCCACGATAATTTTTTCTGTGCAGTTTGATTTTAAGCCCATCTATCAGCGCTTGTCGTCGCTGTGTGCTGCGCAGAAAATATACTATAAACGTGAGCCTATAATTATGATCGCACTGAGATAGACGACAGATTCCCATTAAACTAAATGACATAAGCATAAAGATTTACGCACGCGGGGCATAGAAACAAGAAATCAAAAGTTGTCAGCCAAAGCGTCAAATTTGTAATGAGACAAAAGTTTTTGGCCCACACACACACAGACACATACAGAGATTTTGGCCAATAGAAGCGGGGCTGGGGGGCCACGCCCTGGTCTTTTGAAAACGCTTTTGATTAAAGAAGTTGTCACAGTTGTTTAAAGCGAACAAAAAGCTGCTTAATAATTGCGCGTGGGCGTCGTCACAGCCTCCCTCCACTGAAAAAAAAATCCCCCTTCCCCTAAGAGACCATTTATTGGGTTTGCCAGCTCTATTTGCATAGCTCTCCTCCGTTTAAGCCTTGAATCGAATTGTGCGCCCTGACTTCGTGCCCGCGTATTATTGTAAAGACTTATATTCAGCAGGCAGAAAAAAAAAATGGAAAATAAATTAAGAAAAGCAAAAAAAGAGACGCTGAGTTTAAAGCTCACAGCATCAACGACGACGACGACCTTGCCTTGGCTCATAGAGAAATCTCTTTGACTGCAGCGAACAATGGTTCCAACTCGAGGCGAGACACTATAACCGCTGCGATTGCAGCAATCAATAATTAATAAATTTCTCTCTTGTCGATATGGCGAAAAAAAAATATAAATAAGGAAAGTTTAACCATCAAAATGGGGGTGCTGGAAGGGTGGTATGAGGGGGGTGGCAGGTATCCACCCACATGCAGCTTCAATTATTTCAACAGGGAAGCAATTACGGTTATGTCGTACGAAAAGCCATCAAGATATTTTTTGTACCCATACATATGGATATGGTAAATGGCAGACAGTCAAGGACATTTAAGTAAATTAAAAGGAAATAGATAAAAAAATTATAAAAGAAAATAAATATAATATCTAAACAAATAATGTTTTAACTAGAAAAAAGGTTTTAAAACTAAATTTAAAGACTCTAGGCCTATTTTTACATTATATTTTAAAGCGTTTATATATTATAAAAAGGAAAAAAATATTATTTTAATGTTATTTAAATAATTTTGATTTTAAAAACCTATTTAAGCATTTAAAGAAAATAAAATAAAATATTTTAAATGCTCTTTAAAGGGTTTCTCTCCCTAAATTCTTTTATGAATTTAAATTCCACATTGCACGAATTTTCTGAATTCTTTCATTATGTGGAAACCCCTATACTTTCGTTCCTCACTGTCCCTGCTTAGGCACTTCCAATTAATAAGAGCGAGACCGCCTGAGTGGCAAACGGCAGCAGGAGAGGCTCTCTGTGTGTGTGGGTGCAATGAGCGTGGGCGGCCTAGGATAAAACTTTCATTGGCCGCCTTCCCCAGCCTTCACTCAGAATAATGAACAACTAAAAAAAAAAGAAAATAATAATAAAAGGCACTAAAAAGTGCAATCAGTGCCAGAGTAGATTGCTGCCTGATGACGAATACCCTAGGAAAAACGGTGATCACTCCAAGTTAAGCTGCCAATTGTTATCTGATGTGAGAGAGAGGGTAACATTTCAGATCCCAAGACCCCAGCAGTTGCATAATTCATGGCAAAAAAATTAAAATAAAATACAGGGTAGTGGCTTTTTTTCAAATGCTTAATATGCAGATCAGTTAAAGTGATTTTATGCTGTAATTATTACACCAAGAAAAAATATAATGATATTAAATGGGAAACTTTAAGTAAGAGATAAATAAATAAAGAAAAAAGGTATTTGTAACCCAAAAATCAATTCATAATTTTATTAATTTCCCTAAAAAATATATTTTAATTTATTTTCTCAAATATTTTCATGTATTTTAATTTATTTTTATATTACTTATTTCCTTCACTGCATTTATTTATAATTTTATTTCCCAGGAGCGTGGGCTTTTTTATGTCGGCAACTTTTGAAGCTGTCGCCGCGTAGGTGTCTCCGCCCATCTAGGGCTTAATTTAAGGTTTAGGGTTTTAGGTTTTTGGTTTTTTTTTTTTTTTGGGAACCTGAGAGGTGAGAGATCAGGGCTGGGAACCACACCTTCGATTTCCGCCCATTTTCGTCGCCGACAAATGAAGAAGACAAATGTTAAGTGCGAGACATTTTTGTCGGGCAATTAGCGCGGCTCTTGTTGTTCCAACTCGAAATGTTACCATTTGCTATTTAGTGGCGATGCTGTGCTGACAGTTAAATAATAGAAACGTGCCAAGTTGCAACTGCTTGTTGCAATTGTTGTTGCTGCTGTTGCTGTTGCAGCTGAGATTGTTGTTGTTGCTGTTGTGTGCCGCCAAGCACGTAACTCAATAATGCGCACATTCTAACAGCCAGAACAACAACAACAATTAAGCTAACAATGTACCACACGCTAGTGTCGAGTGAGAAGGCGATAGTGAATGCAGAGAGAGAAATTTTTAGGGGAATATAATATTTTAATAATTTAGAGAGAGAATTTTGTAATATTTGTATATGAAAAATATTTATAAAAATGTAAAAAAATATATACATTTTTAAAGGATATATGAAAGCATTAAGAATATTCTAAATTAAATTGGAATTAATATAAAAACATCTATATAGTTTTAGAGGAGCTATGAGAACATTATATATATTCTAAATTAAATTTAAGTTAATGGGAAAAATCTATCTAGTTTTATTATTGAAAATATCTACAAGAAGCCTGTAAATAAAAATCTTAGAAAAAATCACATAAACTATCTTGATATCATGTAAACCCCCTTTTTGAGTTTGAAATATTTTTGTTCTGGAATATATGGATAGAGATATAGGAAAACAGATTTTTAGAGAAACTGAAAATAGCTCTAAAAACTTATTTTAAGGTAAAAATATTTTTATACTTGAAAGGGTATTACTAGAATTTATTTTATATTTTTATATTTTTAAATATATATGTCTTAAATTTCTTCTTTTAGAATATTAATTTTTTATGCAAAAACTTCTGTTTTCCTTCTATCTTTCAGTGTAAAAGAAGTAAAAGTTGTTGTTAGTGTCGTGTCGACATAATGAAAATCTGCTGCTGCTGCTGCTGCCTGGTCTTGCTTCTCCCCTCCCCCCGATTTATCCCACTGGGAAATTGTCTAATGAAAAGCTGCTGTCGACACAAACGAAGCGTGGAAAAGAAGTGTAAAAAAAAGAGCACTGAGAATTGCGATTGCAGCGATTTGGGATAGTGGAGCCGGAGAGCTAAAGAGGCGAGTGACGGACGGGGTAAGTGGTATCGATTAAGCCTTAAACTTGATGCATCGCTGCCAGAGAGGGTATATAGAGTGTGTGTACAGAGTGTGTCTAGTGTGTGTTGTCAACGGGGGTTTTTTTTAGTGGACAGCTGTGAGGGAAAGGCTTTCATCAATTTGGTGCTCTTCAGGGAACAGGCTAAAGGCTTTAATAAGCCATCAAAACGCACAGTCTGGGGATTCTGGGAATGCCATTCATCTCAAATTGGTTAAATATATTTTAAAAATGTATAAAACAAGGATTTAATATTCTACGAAAAGAAAATAAAATTCTACAGAAATTATATTAAGTTTAGAAACATTTTTCTTTATTTAAAAACCAAGAAAACCTCTAAGAAAATAACTTTTTAGTACCCTAATCAATTGCCAACTCATTTAGTTCCTAAAACAAATTCTTCACTACCAAAACCCTGGCTTAGTTATGCTTTAACCAACACTTTTAAGCCTAAAGTAAGCCCCATTTTGATATGGCCAAGCAGCATAACCAACAATTGCTGGCTGCCAATTGATAATGGCCCAGAAAAGCGCGCAAAAAAAAGAAGGAATAAGTAGAAATCCCCATAGAAGGCCAAAAGTATTAAGAGGTCGTGCTGGAATTGCCGCTGTGTCAGCTGCCAAGTGTTAATTACATGGCTGGCACTTCAATTGCCAATTTTCCGAGCCGCTCCTCTAAGCCGTCCGATCTGTTTTTGCATGCAGAAACCTATTTCAATTTTTTTTTTCTATCATAAAGGCGTTTAGAGAGAAATTGGCTCTGATATACCTCACATATTTAAGCCAGATTTCCATGAGACTTATGGCCATGTTTTTCACCATTTCGGCTGAAACTTTTCTTTTCCAGCGGGCAATGAATTATAGAACATTACGAGGCAAGTTCCATTTAGCTGGAGAGACAGCAAATTACAGTTCAGACTTGGGCTTCCAGGTTTTCCCCCGGTTTTCTGGAGACTTGGCTTGGCTTATTTGCGGCCAAAGTTGCAATTTTCCGGTGAGACGGAAGATGTCTTCTCGGCGTATGCAAACAAGCCAAGTTTGCGGGGGTGAAGCTGGCTACCAACTGCCAACTGCCAACTTCCAAATGGCTTAAAGGTGAGTGAGTGAGTGAGTGAGTGGAGTGAATGAGTATTTGAGTTCATTGCTCTCTGATAGAAATGGAGAGGGGCTTGGAGGACACCTCCTCCTCCGCAAAAAATACAAGAAAAAAAGAAAACATTTGTGGGTTTGAGTAGGAAGTGGCAGTCTTCTTCTTTTACTCCTGCG